AAAGAAAAAAAAAAAAAAAAAAAACAAAAAAAAAAAAAAAACAAAAAAAAAAAAAAAAAAAAAACCAAAGTTGTCACAAGGAGGTCTGTGGTACAGCGCCTTCTTTGCACCGATTTCACCCAGCGACCAGTTGGTGAATAACCATTCTTCCCTACAAACCAATGTTTAAATCACATCCGATATGGCTGAAACCTCATTGCTTTGCTTTCTATTAAGCTGACACATACATTTGCCACTTTTCTACCTTTTTCTAACTGCTATATGTTTTTCCATGCAAAGTCTTCCTAAACTGTGTTCCTTTGTATGAGTTTGGACTTTCTATATGTATGTACAGTTTTATAACCTGGACATGCTTCTCTGTTTAGGCAATCTTATTTACCATCACAACCTTCATCACAGAGCCACTGAAGTACTTCGGTCAGGGATTCAGTGAATTTCTTCGAGTGCTCCTCAAAGATCTTCCGGTTACCCTGCAGATCCCAGTCCTGCTCACTACCATGCCTGCTACTGTGGTAAAACCTGTCACCTTATTCACATTATAGAGCTTTCTATAGATGGATAAGATTAATAGAACAGGTCTCTGTCCAGAAGAGCGCAGTCCTAGGAACAGAAAAGATGCTGCACAGGACCTTCAAGCTCTAAGGCCTTTTTTATGCATATCTTCTTCAGGTGATTGTGTATGCAAGTGTGCAAGCAGCCTTCCAGAATGGCATCATGGCACTTTTACGCTGCCCACAAAGGGACCCACCACCACCAGAGCTGAACAGATCACCAGAGATGCTGCACTACTCAGACCTGAGCTCCCGAAGAAGTCGATGATGATGATGACTTCTTGGTTGTTCCTGTGGAAAGTACCAGTGAGTATGAAAATGAGATCGTCAACATGCATGAACAAAACATACACAAACCCCAGACACTTCTCATCATGATCTTCATGTTGTACATATATATTTCCTTATTTATGCATATTTTGCATCCAGGACAGTTGACAGAGCTCATCTTATGGCCTAAGTTTGGAGCCCTCCAAAGGAACTATACATTTGCCAGTCTGTACATAATTATCCAATATAAATAGTTTGCCTGTCAGTTTTTTAGGTGCTAAAACTCTTCTTAAATGCATCTTTGGGCTCAGGGTTGACTCTTTAGTCTGCCATTTTTAGAAAGAATTTCAGTCTGTGATGTTGGAAATTTGAGGCTGTTTTTGATGGATCTGTCAAGCACAAACCCCTCGCTGGAACAATCAGAGACAATTCTACTACAATGGCCAAAAGCATTGGACACAAGGCAGAGCTCTTTGTGTGATCTCGTGCGAGGGAGAGAACTGTGACGAGCGCTGCTCCTGACACTCGAACCCCAGTCACTCTCAGTTAGCTCACCCGTAGCACTGGTCTTTATTGTGGTACATGAATATGCATAGTCTCATTAACATATGACGTCATACACAGGCATACATGTGAACAAAGAGTACCGTCTGTGTGTATGTGTAGGTATGCGTGTGTGTGTCAAGATGTGACCCTGTGAACGACTCCCCAAAGCTGGTGCCAGGAGTCCAGCGGTCCACCTAAACAAAGGGCTCTTATACTTAAACAGATACAGAGTAGGTGTCCTCCTGTACCATAAATCAGTAAGAGAAAGTACGACCTCTCTCATGACCTTAGGATGCGTGGGTATGCCAGAGTGCTCTGGGAGGCACACAGAGTCTTTGCAGACTGCTTAGGATGAAACATCCTATCAATATGCAATTGATTATATAACTCTAAGCATATATGAGTAAATGTTTCTAAGCATAAATGACAATCCAACAATATAAACCTAACAGTTTTTATGCTCACTGTGCGCCCCCTGTTGCATGGCAGTGTACATTGATAAAGATGCTCCATCCACTGGCACCCATCCATTTTGTGGCTGTAAGTTTTCACATCTGTCTGTAAATACTTGCTAACTAATAGCCGAGAAGTTGCACAACTTGAAAAAGTGATGGTTTGCCTTCAGAGTAAGGGTATGGGCCAGACACCCCATACTCCCGCAGCACCTCCCACAGGACACCCCGAGGGACACGGTCGAATGCCTTCTCCAAGTCCACAAAACACATGTAGACTGGTTGGGCAAACTCCCATTCACCCTCAAGTATCCTTGAGAGGATAAAGAGCTGGTCCAGTGTTCCGCGACCAGGCAGAACACTGGACCAGCGGACAAACTCTCCTTTCCAGCACCCTGGCATAGACTTTCCCAGGGAGGCTGAGGACCCACCCCGGTCTGCCAGTCCACAGGTACTGTCCCTGATCTCCATGCAACATTGTAGAGGCGTGTCAACCAGGACAGCCCAACAACATCCAGATCCTTCAGGAACTCGGGGCGGACCTCATCAACACCAAGGGCTCGGCCACCAAGGAGTTGTTTAACTGCCTCAGTGACCTCGCCCCCGGAAATTGGCGGGTCCTTCCTCTCATCCCCAGACTCTGCTTCCTCCTCGGAAGATATGTCAGTGGGATTAAGGAGGTCCTTTAAAGTATTCCTTCCACCGCCTGACAAATTTTCTCAGTCGAAGTCAGCAGCGCTCCGCCAGCACTATACACAGTGCAGGTAGAGCACCGCTTTCCCCTCCTGAGACTCCTGACGGTTTGCCAGAATCTCTTCGAGGCAGTCTGAAAGTCTTTTTCCATGGCGTCTCCGAACTCCTCCCACACCCGAGTTTTTGCTTCAGCCACTGCCCGAGCCGCATTCCGCTTGGCCTGTCGATAC